GTTGTTCGCGACCCTGAGATGTTTCTCGGCTTGACCCAACTTTCAACATGTTTGCTCGAGCGAATGTACGCCATGCTCAGCCATCCCGTTGCAGCGTACGGGGGGAGCGCAAGGCAATGTGCCTGGAATAGACTGCAACGGACGCGAAGAGTTGTGGTGCATTGACTTAATTTGAGCAATACTTCTGTGTCTGCCCATTTGGAACAAAGGGGAAGGGGGGTTGTCGCTGAATTCTGCAATCGAGGCACAATGTGTCTTTCTTGCTTTGTACTTCGCAATTCAGTTATGCATTGGTACATCTCGCCGTCATTTGGGAATGAACAGCATCCATGCTCAGCGCACGGAGTTGTTGTTCAATCGACCGCCAAGGTCCTATATGAGAGCACTTTTCACTCCCATACAAGCGTCGATATGTCATTTATCAAACTTGCCAGACATCATCGCCGTACCTCATCGGAATTGACACCATGCCACACCACACACACTGCTACGAAGATGCAAATGGTAGTCTTCGCTGCTCAACACAGAATGCCCCGTTTAAACAAGGCTCCATCACGCTTCGACGTGTATCCTCAGAACCAACCTTCAACGCAACCCTCTCGAGTTTTGATGGGTCCAACTCCCTTCTTGTCTCCCCTGACGGCACAGACAAGGGCCATGCTGGAACCCGACAGCTTCCGAAATGCGACGGTCAGAATGGAAACATCAAAATGATAATCAAAGCACTGAATGAATTGAAAGCCGATCTCGAGTTAATGATCAGGCTCTGTCCAGAGCTCGGATCCCAGGTAGTGAGGGGCACCGAGAAGGTCCCGGTTCTGGTCTTTCACTGCCTCGAGGCGCAACTGGTCAAGGCCGAGAGTCAGCTGTGGGTTTACAAACTAAGGAATGAGCAGGTGGGGGTTCAACACAAGATTGATGCCGTTGTTGAGACGGTGAATCAGGCCGGCCGCGTTATCGACAAATACCAAGCCGCTCGAAAACCCCTTTACAGGCGCTGGGAGGTAAGTGGTGAACAGGGAAAGAGTGAGATCGAGCAGGAGTTTAGACAGGTCTGTGAAACACTCGCGATGCTCATTGATGGGGCCGAGCCGCGCTCCATAAGCCCATGAGAAATGATGGCGATAGATTACGACTTGGTAATGATCTTACTTAGAAGTCGGGATTTTAGTGAATCCCGTGTTGCTAGGAAATTACTTGAAGGTTAGCCTCACCAGAGCACCTGATGCCAGATGAATAAGATTTACAAATAACATGGTGCCGCTGATCGTCAAGTATCTCAACACAAAATCGCCATCTGTAATTGAGAAAATTGATAATACCATGTAGTCAGGATGCTGCACATCGTAGTTCAGACCTCGTTAAGCGCCGGTGAATGCCTCGCTAGATATGAATCACGAAATGATGAAATAATTGATAACGATCGTTTATGTGTGTGGAGTACCATCATTAACCTGGAGCCATAGAGACATGGCAAACCTGGGCGCAACACGCAGAGACAAGCATCACGATGAAACTCCAACACAGTATGACTGGCCAATCCAGAAGTTGGCCACACAGTCGTGGCTCACTGCTGGATTCCATTCAAAGAACTGACTCAACGAAATATCGTTACTCTCAGCGAGTGAGCCACAAGTATCGCCCGGTTCCACAACGTCCCACTCGTCGCAGTCGTTCGGCTGGCCGGTATGCGTCGGGCCCGGTGGTCTCGGCTTGGAAGGTCTGGGCGTCACGGACGACTTCGCGGAGGACGTCTCTGTGGATATACCGCCCATGTCTCCAGAGACGCCGACGCAGTATGCCTGGTTCAACCAGAAGTTGATTGAGCAGTCGCGGCCGACGGCCGGGTTCCAGTCGTGAAACTGATCCCGCGAGATGCCGGCGTCGTCTGCCACTGACTGGCAAGAGTCACCCGAGGACACGACATGCCAAGTGTCGCAGTCTTGAGGCTGACCTGAATGTGTGGGCGCAGGGGCAGTCGGCCCTCCATCGCCTGTGGTTGCCGTCGCCGCCTCAGTCTCAGGGATGGCGCGGATGACCTGCAGATTCCAGGACCCGCAGTATCGCCCGCCAGGTACAAAAGAGCAGGCAGGGTCGGTGACATTAGTACTCAGTGAATTCCAGGCGACGAAGTTGTCGTTGTCGGCGTCATGGTTGCGGGCGGCGAGTTCGCAGTTGCTCTTCCAGTACCCAAGCTGGTCCGGCGGGAACTGGTAGTCGTCGCCCTTGAAGTAGTGCACACAGTCTTCGCGGACTCCTTTGGCTAGCGGCGCAGGGGTGTATGGCCGTGAGTAGCCTTCTACGGTCGCATTAGGAAGCATGGTGAAGGGAATGCCGGTGAAGGTCGCATTGTGATCGATTGTAATAGAAACATGTCCGGGGCGGCCAGCGTAGGTGTTGACTGCAACGGGCATCAATGATCAGAAGGGGCATATCGAGAAAAAGAAGAGAGAAAGAAGAGGTGGGGAGAAGGAGAGAGGAACGGATTGGCTTACTGTCTCCCACTGGATGTACACAGTAGCTTTCTTTTGCATACAAGTTGGTGCAGTTGGCATTGATGCCGGGGTTGAGAAATAGGAAGTCATCCATGGAGATGGCGAACTTCAGGATCACCAGATTACAGTAGTCGCCCGCTTCGACGTTGTACCAGCGGCTGCACGGCTTGTTGGACCCCGCGGCGGCTTCTGTTGGCATAGGTGCAACCATGGTTGGGACCAATGGCGGAATGTTGGTAGTGGCAGGCGGAGCCAGACGAGGTCCCGGAGGACTGATGCAGAGCGTGGTGCCGTTCATCATGCCAATGTTGGAGCACACAGGATTGATGACCTGATTCCAGGCCTTGAGCTGGGTCACTGTTATTCCAGCAGAGTTGGCGATAGCGATACATGTTTGGTTGACTCCAACAGTGACGGTGTCACACTTGTTAGTGATACAGAGACTGCCTGACGTGGGGAAGTCAGCACAGTATGCGGCGAGGTTATTGTCTGCTAAAAGCCAAGCTGTGGCAACACCATGGGCCTTAGATATGCTGTAACAGTCATCACTGTTTTGAATCGTGTACTGCGTGCCGTCACAAGAGTCTTCCGTAGGTTCAGGCTCGCTGATGAAGTAGTCGATAGTCGTTGTGGTTACAGGTTTGCCTGTAACGCCACAGCTTGACGTATATCTCTGGTAGAGCGATTCGCTTGCCACGATGGGGCCGTCGAAGTAGGGCGATCCTGCGCGCATACGAAGCCTGGCTGCGATGCAGCTGTCGCAATGACCGGGATCTGCGGTCCCCTCCGGCACTTCATCGAGGTAGTTGAAAGGCGATACTATTTGAGTCGTAAATACCACTGTGAGTTACGACAGACGACGTCGCCAAGTGATATTGACCAACCTCCGGGGTCTGTGAAGACAGCAACTAAGGCTGCAACAGGGCCACAAAATTTATTATTCTCCCGCAGACACGTAAACTCGAATATGTGCTCGAGTGTGGCCGGAATCACCACTGGCGATGCGAGGAGGTCAAAGTCGGTGGGGACGCTCACGTTCTTGCCGCACGCGGACCGGACGGACGATGTCCATGAAGATAACGCTGCGGCGCAGCCCGAGGTGCACATGCGCTCCAGAGACACTGGGCTGTAAAAGAAATCTGGGCGAAGATCTCGCACGAGGCGGTCACAGGGTACGTCAGCCAGAAGAGCCTCAGAGCAGATTGACGGGAGGCCATCGGGAAGACTATCATTGTAGACCATTGTGAGAGCGGCTGCGGGTTGAAAGCTCAGTAAAGCCCCGAGGCCTGAGACGAGAAAGGGTCGAACCATCATAGTGATGGGATGAAGATTCTTCAGCTAGTAGACGAAGAAGCAGAGCACAAAGTCCGTCTGCTGCATGCGTCGTGTGAGAAACCCGGCAGTTGAGAAGATCAGTATTTAAGTGACATGAGTAAACTTGGCGACATTTACTTCTGCCCAGATCTTCCGCTTCATGTGCTGAGAAACTAAGAATACACTGTTCTTGGCATTTCCGAAACAGATAAACTACCTCCAGGTATTCGGGAGTCTCACTCCATCCACAGGACCAGGGATGACCAACCCCGCGCCGTGCATCTTGAATGTCTTGCAAGTATGTCTGATCTGCTGTCAAAGTACGCCACATCCCATGTCAGACCAGGTAACACCTTCTCAAAATGGGTCAAAAATGCGAAGGCGTTGAAACCATGCGCCTTGTGAACGCGTAACACGGATCCTGCGAGTCTCTTTTCAGCCGGGATCTCACGTCGACCTCCTTCATCGGCCGTCGCGCAATCGAGCAGCTCGAAAGGGAGGCAACTGTAGGGACGGGAATCTCCTCAACATCCTTCAACGTCATTGGTACACACTGGATCATTTTGGACATACCCGAACGGTCAGCTCAATGACCATTTGCCGTTGTTGGGTGAAGTGAACGGCCTCACCGAGAGCTTCTTTCATCGCTGCGTAACCCAAGGAATCCCACCTACCTTGCCAAGTTTCATTTTTAACGTACCGTCTGTAAAACTTGCGCAAAACTGCGGAGTCATGTCTAGAAGATTTGAGCCTGTGTTAGTGTATGATACGATGACACGACCGCATTGGACAGCGAGATGGCAGCACAATGTGTGGTCCTGTCGAATGCCAAGCGGACAGACAGAACACCAAAAACAGCAAGTGAGGAATCAAAATTAGATGAGTTATTTCTCGGGCTCCTAGGCCAAAGACCGGACCGTAACCTTCTCTCCTGTGTTAAGTGGCCGAGGGTTCCCAGAATTCCTGAGAATCTCTGACAGGTTGGCAGTACCCGACCATAGCGTGTTTAGCATTCTCCTCAATCCATACATCATCATTATTCTTTGTATTATACATCTTCTGCGAATTGATACTTGGCCAAGACACAAGACTAAGACGGCATGTGCGCACAGTCTTGCCTCGCCACAAGGACTTTGCTCCTGTTGATATTGGCTACGACCAGTATCGCGGGAGTCATCAGTACCAAACATCATGTCGAAGACGTGCCACATCAATCAGGGACCTGCAGAAGCGCCACTCCGTGAGTCTCAATGCTCAGGGTTCTGAGTATACGCAACCAACACTCAGGCTAACCGCGCCCACAGACTTCTGGACTTTTCCGCCAAACTCCGCCGGGATTATGAACTGCCGGTATGCAGTGCTGGCGACAGTCCTGATGACCTTGATCATAAGAATGTAGACCTTGCCAACAGCGTGCACCCGTTCGAGGAGCAGTCGTTGTCATCCCTCTTCGCCAGACAGGTTGTGGGAGGAGACGATTATTCGTGTGGCCCCGACAGACCCTGCAGAAACGGCGCATGCTGCCCGAAGAAAACACTTCAATGTAATTATGGCGAGAAGTATGACTTCCCAATCTCCCTCTTCTACGCTCAGATCAATTCACTAACTTGGAGCTTAGGTACTGTGGCACATCGGGCATCTCGCCTAATGAAGTCTGTTGGTCCAACTGTGATGCTAAAGCGGAATGTGGGAAGAACGCCAAAGTTCCTGGCCAAAAGTGTCTTCTCAACGTATGCTGTGGAAAGTGAGTGCTGTTTTGCAAGGTGAAACTCATCAGCTGACGGCTCTGCGACTTTTAGATGGGGGTTCTGCGGCATGACCGAGTGAGCTGACGAGCCTTCCCTTTCCTATCTCTTGTTAATTGACGCCTGTCGAAGGGACTTTTGCGAAGTCAAGGATAATGGTGCCACCGGTGGTTGTCAGTCCAACTGCAAACAACCATGGCCTAAGGGTAAGGGCTCCAAGCAGTTGGATCGTGTTATTGGATACTACGAGGCATGGCGATATAACTCCGAATGCCAAGGAATGGTGGGTGATGTCGTTCCTAGAGTTGCGCGTACGGCAAGACCAGATCGAGTGAAAACTGACGAAGTGGCCATACGGCACGTAGCCCATGAAAGACATACCCATCAACTCGCTAACCCATCTTTACTTGTCCTTTGCATTCATCACGCCCAACGAGTACAACATCATTGGGATGGACGGCCTGCCATCCGAACTTTTTAGCAATTTCACCGACCTGAAGAAAAACAATCCGAGTCTCAAGATGATCATTGCCATTGGAGGATGGACGCACAATGATCCGGGTGCGTGCCTTGGTCATTCCCTGCGCAGCAACATGAGTTGACAATGTTTACTCAGGCCCCCTCCAGAAGGTATTTAGCGACATGGTCAGCACGAAGAAAAACCGGTCAACGTTCATTGAGAACCTGATGGCTTTCCTCCGTCAATATGCGTTTGATGGTGTTGACTTTGACTGGGTACGCACGGCAGTTCCCGTGAAGCTCGTGATAGAAGTTGGCAGTTGCTGATTCTTATTTAATACAACAGGAATACCCTGGTGCTGATGACAGAGGTGGTGTGCCCAACGACGGCATCAACTTTACCCAATTCCTCAAGGAGCTGGAAGCAGCAAATAAAAAGCAACCGAAAAGGTACATCGTCTCTTATACTGCACCGACAAGCTTCTGGTATTTGCGCCACTTTGACCTAAAGTCTATTGAATATGTCGACTTCATCAACGTCATGTCGTATGAGTACGTATCACCCGGCGATGAACACCACGGGGCGAATACTTGAGCAGTTAGGCTAAGCCATGTAGTTTACACGGGGTCTGGGACAGAGACAACCCAATTGGATCTCACATTTACGGACACACCAATCTAACTGAGATGAGTCTGGCGTTTGATTTGTTTTGGCGGAACGATGTGCCAGCCGGCAAGCTGAACATGGGTCTTGGATTCTACGGCCGAGCCTTCCAGCTTGCCGACCCGGCCTGCAATAAGCCCGGCTGTGTGTTCAAGGGAGGCGCCAAGAAGGGGGCCTGCAGCGGCGAGTCGGGCATTCTCAGCTATCGCGAAATCATGGAGGTTATCAAGACCAAAAAGCTCAAGCCTGTGCATGACAAAAAGGCCGGCGTCAAGTACATCACCTGGAACACTGACCAATGGGTGTCGTACGACGACAAGGAGACGTTTAAGCAGAAGAAGGACCTCGCAGAGAAGCTCGGCCTCGGCGGGTTTCTGATCTGGGCCATCGACCAGGACGATGACCAGCTGTCAGCGCTCTCGGCCGTGCTGGACCCTAAGCCGCTGGATGACTTCCGGTCCGACAAGCCGGACGACAACTGGACAGGCTCGAATGAGAAGTGCTACGTCTCCAAGTGCGGCAAAGGGTGTAGCCCGGGCGACATCAAGATTACGGAGCAAAAGTGCGGCAAGGGCAAGAAGAGCCAGCTCTGCTGCCCGCTCTCGGGCGCCCCCGATCCAAAAGACTGTACCTGGCGAGGTGGCCCCAATATCTGCAACGGACGCTGTCACGACGACGAGGTCATGACACATATGAGCAAATGGGGTGGTGGCGCCGACTGCTGGGACGGCAACGCGGCGCATTGCTGCAAGAGCCCGCTCGGCGAGGAGAATTCGTGCTACTGGGCCGGTGTCGCCAAGAAGTGCAAGGCCGGCCATCTGCCGCTGACCTTCTCAGGCACCGTACTCAGCATCCTTGATGATATTGCCAAGGTGATCCTCACGGTCGTCGGCCGTGCCGTTCCCATTGCAGCGCTCACCGGCCGCGTACTCCTCGAGGTGCTTGATCAGCTCGACCTCGACACAAACAAGCTGTATTGCTGTCCCGAGGATGATGTCGACCGCTGGAAGAATTGCGCCTGGTACGGCAAGCCAGGGAGCTGCTTCGACGGCCACTGTCCCGATATGAAGTTTGTGCAGCTCACCGACAGCTATTTCGGCGGCGGCGAGACATGCGGCGGCCAGTTGTCTCGCGTGCGAACTTTCTGCTGTGAGTCGGCAGGCGATCCCCTTTTTCTTCCTGTGCCGCTGGAAAACCTGTTTGAGCACCCGCCAGACGGAGACAGTGTCGACACCGATTTCAGCCTCAAGACGGACGATTCATCGGCTGGCGGTGATGATGACCCCAACGAGGCCGCCTTTCAGTTTGTCGTTCTGGCTTCGCCTGACGAGCTGCAAGTATCGGTCGACAAGCGCGATGGCTCCCACTGGGATGTCTTTGGTTGCGAAGATGCCGTCACAGAAGGCGAGCATACCGTTAGCATGGTCTGTACCGACTTCTCCGAGAGGAGCAACTGTCACAAGATAGGTCTCGGCTACGGGGTGCCTGGAACCATCCTGCAGATGCCCCCCGGTTGTGGTCCTGGCAAGTACGCCGTGGCGAAGAGCATGGAGCCCGCTGACAGTGGTGACCACGTCAAGCTGCTGCCACGCCGTCTAGCCCACCTCGCTCCTCGAAAGCCCACAGTCTACTCACTGACGTTTGACTACGACTTTGGCCGTGTCCCGCGCGATCTCGGAAGTACCCAGATGCGCATCGACTTTAGTAACCAGGACGACTACTGGGATACAGTTGTCGCTGGGTCCGTGTCCAAGAAGAAGAGAGACCTCGCCAAGCGCACGCTCGCCGACGTGGGCGGCAACCACGTCCGGTGGCTCGAAGAGGAGTTCAGGGACGACTATCACTTTGGCGGACTCGAGACGCGTGACCTGCACGAACGCTGGTTTGGCACGAGCATTCTGGAGTGGCTCGCGCAGCTCGTCAAACCTGAGATCAAGCGCGAGTTCTTGCACAGATATGATGACACACTGACAGCCAAGCTCATTGATGAGACGTGGTCCTGTTCCAAAGGTGATATCAACTACGAAGGCCACTTGCTCGCCCAGGCCCTGCTCAAGATCAAGGTCGAGTCCAGCTTTGGCTTCACCCTCATCGTCAACGACCTCAGTCTGCCCCTTGACCTGAGCCAGAGTTACCTCACCTTTTACAATAAGGGCGCAATCACGGGTGTCATGACCCTTGAGGCCGTTGCCAAGGTGTTCTATGAGAAGAAAAGCGTCATTTTGAATATTCCCTTCCCCGGCGCCTCCTTCAAGATCCCGGGCATCGCCACCATTGGCCCTCAACTCACGGTAGAGGGCAGCATTGATGCCTCCTTCGCCGTGGCAGGCACTATTGAGACTCAGCTTGAAATTGCCAAGTGGGAAGTATGTCTCCGTCTCCCCTTTGATCATCTGTTCTTTATGACACAGTCATGATAAAGCCTTCAAATCACTTAAGCTGACGCTTCATGTTCTACGATGGCAGGTCCGACAAGTCGTGCCTGACAATGGCGACGATGCGTACAAGCCGAAGGAGATCGGCAAAGGCGACACCAGCCTCGACCGCACCGGTGACTTTGGAGGCATCAAGAAGCTCGAATTCTACGCCGGCGTCGCCGTTCAGGGCGACGTCACAGCCCGCCTCTCGGCTGCTGCCGAGTTTGGCGTCCGGTTCGCAGACAGGTGGGATGTCTATCCAGCCGCCGCCGCCGTCGTCGGTGAGGCTAGTGTCATGGCCAAGCTGACGGCGGGTGTTTCTACCGATGCCGTCTGTCCCTTCACTTACAGCCTTGACGTCGGCGCTCGTCTGTATGCCAGGGTCCAGGCGCCCAAGGTCTTTGGATGGCCTGGTGGCCAGTACGAGCTGACGCCCAAGTGGAACAAGGGCATCATCAAGGCGGGAACCTGTCCTAAACTGGGCGCCATCCCGTCCAAGAGAGACCTTGATCTCGTTGAAGCGGCTGCCCATCTTTCAACGGCCGACAACCCGTCTCAGCAGGGGGACACCAAAGTCGGTGGTCACAACGACCTCGGGCGGCGATCGGGTCATCTTGCCAAGAGAGGAAGCGTCCACGGCCCGGTGCTCAGTCTCCCTGTCGGCAAGTTCTTCTGCCCGCCGTCGAGCGACGACAACGAGAACGAAAGCAGCTCCTGCAAAGACGTCAAAGCAGCATGGGATCAGGACAAGTACCTCAGTGAAGATTACGATGGCATGCGTAGAAGGAAGAGAGAGGTTCCAGAGGATGAGCTTCTTGACGTCGACGATGAACAAGATCTGGACGGTGTGGAAGGGGAGATCCTGGCGCACATTTTCGGGAGGTCTATCAGCAAGAAACCCATCAAGGCCTGCAGCCTCAGGACGACCTTCGACTACCCAACAGACGGCTCTCTCGACGGCGACGCCCTCGTCTATGGCTGGGAGGAGCCCGACGTCTGCGGGAGCTACGACTGGGGCGGCCCGCTCGACGCCCGTGTCGCCGGTACATCCTACCACTCGGAGCATATCCTCGAGGCGCAAATGGTAGCGCAGTTTTTCGCGTACATGGACGAGAAGATCGACTCAGTCGCGAACCCGGACCCGAACGCCAGCTCCAACAAGAAGAAAATCTCGTTCTGCGAGTACGTCAACGTCATGTTCGACATTGACGCCGTTTCGGCCCCGGGCCTCGACACGGCGCGCGGGTTCGCCGCCACGCTGACGCCGATCAACCACATCGCCGCCCAGTTCCCAACGCACCAGTGGAAGACGGAAGAGTACGTCTCACTTGAGGCCGTCATCAACACACCCGCCAAGGGGAAAGCCTGGGGCACAAACAGCAATATCATCAACACGTCATCATGGCTGACGGGCAGGTTGCCGACGGCGGCGGGCGCGAGAGCGATGCTCAAGGCAATGCGCTCTCTCATCGGTTCCCGCGTGTACCACAACGATGGGACCGTATTGAGAATTCTGCGGGCGCAAAAGGCTCGCGTCGGCACCGTCCTTGACTTGCTCGACACGACGCTGCTACCCGCGAACCCGCCTCAGGGGTTCACTGCGTGGCCGCAGCATGGTCACGGGTTACGGGCTGAGTGGGATGCGTTCATGAAGGGCGAGTTTCTCCTGATGCAGACCAAGACGATGAAGGTCATTTATGAGTTTATTGGGCCTCTGAAGGAGCAGTGGACGGGTGATGCTGTTCGGCAGGCCAACGAAGACCAGGCGGGGGACAGCACGGCGGCTCTGGCAACCAAGCAAGGGGTCAGGAACCTCATTGATGATATTGAGGCCATGGACGACTACCTGGCGACCATGCCTGCTTGGCAGTCGGCTTTCTGAGTCTCTCCTAGGAAAATGCCTCTGAACAGGAAGGTCGTCTTGAAATACCCGAGGTCGCGTAAAAGACAGCGAAGAGGTTTGAAGAAGACGGACCAACTGAAATCTGATGTAATGTTACCCTTTTGTGTCTCGTCTTGATTGTACTCTGCTCTCTGCTCCACCTGCGTCTCTAAGCAACGCTGTAAGGCTTGGTTTTCCGTTGTTCCTCAAACGTAAAGTCTAGCCACTCCTGTCGTCCAAGGCCTCCAAACAGGTCCAACACGCTCTGACTTGGTCTCCAGTCACCAATCTGCCACTGGACGACACCTTCAACAGTGTCCTCGTCGCCAGCCTTCGCAGCGAGGTGCCGCACGCCCCATCTATGCACGCCGTTCTCAGAATCGTACGGCGCCTCATCTCCGTATTCTTCGGCCCTGCTGTCAGAGGGACACCACGCCAGGTAGGCGAAGAGCTCGGCGTCCTCGAGGGCGCCCATGTTCTTGACAGCCGAACCAAAGGCCAACAGCAAAGGCTCGATAGTTTCGGGGCTCGGCTGGGTGCGGAACACGTCGGGGAAGGCATCGACCTCTTCGCCGCCCTCGGGGTCCTCATTCCACTGTTCATCCACCTCCTCGTCTTCAGTGGTCGTCTGCAGGGGCGGATAGTGGTCGGCTTTGGAGATGGCGAAGCCCTTCGGGTGGGGATCTTCGCCGCGCGGACCGACGAAATACCAGCGGCCATCTGGCCGCAGCGGGTGAAACTCAATGGTCAGGCGTCGCAAGTTTAACCACTGCTTCGACGATGGCGCATCAGGGGAGGGGAAGATATGTTCGGTCAGAAAGGCACGGAGGTCAAGCTCCTGCAGCTGGGCTGCCAGCGTGCGTAGTCCCACGGACAGGGGGTCCTGCTCGGCTGGTGTTACAAGATCCGGCATGGCCAGCGCCTGGTTGTCCTCACAGGCAAGTCCAGGCTGCCAGAACCACAGCCTGGCCTTGGTTAAAGTGGCGGGGATTGGCAGGCCCAGAAGCTCTTTCTGCTGCATCATAGAGGCGCCAAACTCGTGACGCGCATCGCGCCAGGGTCCTTCCCAGACGCGTGTGAAGTGGCGCATGGGCCGGCCTGCGGCAGGGAAGGGAAGTCGCTCCCACAACCACGGACAGTCGATCTCTGCCACGCCTGGGAGATGGGCGAGGCATGCGAGGGGGACGTGGAGCGATACAGGTCGGACCCGGCTGAAATAGAAGTCCTGGCGTGGCCCGCTGCCTGGCAGAAAGCGGAGCTTACGCACAAACGGCAGGACTGGGAGTGTCTCTGGATCGTGTAGCGTCAGACGGCGAGCGTGGTAGATGAGATGCTCGCAATGCGGAAAGCGAGTAAAGGACTGGCACCCGACGGTGAATTCGACTTGAATACCCTTTTCCTCGTCTATGGGTGCCAGCTTGGCGTCTGCCAAAGAGGCGGCGGGTCTTGCGTGATAGACGGCCAACTGTTCGTACATGGCGTGTAACTGCGCGGAGAAAAATGCGCTAACTTCGGTGGTCTCCTCGACAGGCTCGCGGCAGGGGAGAGGATTTTCTTGCAAGTTTTCGAGTAGAGGCATGTCCACACCAAGGTGGATGTGGGAGAGCGGGCGGCCATCCTCGGCGTGCTGCGCGGCACTCCTCTGTATCAAAGCTCGGGCGCGATCATGGACGTCGGGTTCCAGGATGAGGATGGTCATGCTGAGTTGAGGGGAGAAGAACGTCGATCAAGAAGGGGAATCTGATGAAGAGGTGAAGGAGATTGAAGAGGTGAAGGAGGATGAAGTGGGAGGAGAGGTTTGTGGATGCAATCTGTTCGACCAGGCACCCAGCGGCGTTGTCTGGCAGGAGCATTGCACAAATCCGGGACCCACCGCCGTCCAAGTATCACGACGTTTCCTCGCCAGTGTACAACATCACAGGAGGAAGGCAAATACCTGTGGCAGCTCTTTTTCATCGACTTTGGCACACATGTATCGCCGGCCTGCTGTAGAACCATCTCTGACTTCCATCTATGGGAAAAATCCCTCTCCTGACCCGTTTTGAGGTCGAGACACCTGAATTCTGAGAATCTTGCCTGATACTCTCTTGATCCCGGATACCTGGAGATTAGCAGAACGAACTGGCGCCATCTGTCATCCCCAAATCTCGAGCGACAACTGCACCAGATGACGAGGAGCGGATGAGGGCGGCAAAGGAAAAGCGTTCGCGCCTCGGATGCTACTGGCGACGCAAGACTCGCCAGTGACTGCAGAGGGAATAACTGTCGAATCAAGCCTATTTGCTTGCAAGTTGCCATCAGCAAGTAGGAAGCCTCTGTCTGAGCTGTGAAGCCTCTGGAATGACTGTCTGACACACATTAGAGAGCTGCACTCGTCGCAGTTGGCCCTGAGCAGCCCCCTGCCGGGAATGGAGCGATTCGACTTCACACCTGAATGGCATCATCCAGAGAAAGATCTTCACGCACCTGTGATATTGGGCGCGCATGGCCATGCACATTGGTTTACAAATGGCTCAGATCGCGCACTGGAGCTTGGTGGAAAGGTCGTAATGGAGAGGGCGCAGCTTGGCAGTGGCCATTACCAAACATCACTCGATGCTTCGAAGATACGCGCAAGCTGTGTCAGGCGGTTCAGAAAACAACCGAGGGTACAGGCGTGCCGCGACCGCCCGGGTTGTGACGGCTTCATACCCAAAGAATCTCCTACGAAGTCAAATGTGGTCGCAGCATCGGCGTTTACGGATTGCGCACTGACTCAGGCTACAGCGACTCATGAGCTTTGGACTTTGGGCACGACTCACTCGTAAGAACGGGGATTGAGCGGACGAGGGGAACCATGCGCGGATCAATGGAGAACCCTCACGTTGGCTTCTTGGACTCGATCAGAACCATACGATGCGACTCCCCTTCGACGCCTCCTTCTCGAAACCCCCAGGCAACGAATAAAAAGCACGCTGAAGGCCAAACCTGCTGCGGAAAGCAACCGCGCCGGGTGCACCAAGCCCGCATATCCTTGACAGAGGCGGCCTAGCTCAAAGACATGAACCGTGTTAGCGTCGCCCAATAGCAACAGAGGGGAGGCAACGTCGATCCAGCCCTGGATCTCGAAAAGAGATGCCTCCCCTACCCCAGATTGCGGGGAAGTCGGGGATAAGCAGGACACTATTGAACCCCCGCGGATGCCAGGGGCAGGTCTCGTCCCAGCTGTGCCGTGTTATCGCCGAAGCGATGACCCTTCGACGGCCAAGAGCCGGTTCCAGAGCGTGGGGATCGTTGCACATGGTCCCCTCTAGTTTCGTAATAGGTAACGCGGGGAGGGGGAAAGGAGGACAAGGCATAGCGTACGTACGTTGAGACTCGCCAGCAGCTTTAAACCAGAACAGTTCCACAGCCATCTCCAACAGGCCTCCCTCTTCTCTCTCTTTCTCATCCAGGCTCATGTCTGAAGAAAAATCGATTGCTGCCTTAAAGCCTGTCACTTATATCATCTCACAATGGGCGTCTACACGAAGCTTGCCGATGACATCGATGAGGTCGATGTCATCATTGCCGGAGGTACGCGTGGACATCTCTCCTTGTCGCCCTCACCAATACTGGTTCGCCGTCGATGATGTCGCACATACTGACTCTGAGTTCTCACTACAGGAGGCACTGCGGCATGTGTCGTGGCAGGACGCTTGGCCGAGGCCGACCCGAAACTGTCGATTCTGGTAATTGAAGGTGGCCAGGACAACCGCGGCGTATCCAATATTGAGAACCCTGCGTTCTTTCTGGACCACCTGTTGCCTACGAGTAAGACTGCCATTTTCTACAAGGGCAACAAATCGGAGCAATGCGCCGGACGCGAGGTCATTGTTCCTTCTGGCGGTGTGCTCGGCGGCGGATCCTCTATCAACTTTATGATGTACACGCGTGCTCAGCGTTCGGATTTCGACTCCTGGAAGAGTCCTGGATGGTCCGCTGATGAGATACTGCCATTCCTCAAGAAGGTAACGTCCCACCCTGTGTCTGGCTCAACTAAGAAGCAAGCTTACACTCCTCGAAAGCTCGAAACATATCACGGCCCGGGCGACAAGAGCCGTCATGGTGACAGCGGGCCCGTGCACATCTCCAGCGGCACGTTCCGCTCCGAGTTCTCGGAGAGTGAGTTCATCAAGGCCACGGGCGAGGTGGGCTGGCCGGAGATCAAGGACCTCCAGACGCTGGATGCCAACAATGGCATCGAGCGATGGCTCCGCTATGTCAGCCCCGAGGGCAAGCGACAGGACTCTGCCCGCGTCTATCTGCACGACAAGATGGACAATGACAAGTACCCCAATCTCCATATTCTCACCCAATCCAAAGTCGTCCGTGTCCTGCTCGACGACGACAAGCGAGCGGTGGGCGTCGAGTACACGCCGAACCCAGACTTCCAGGCCGTGCTGGAGACGACGAAACACCCTAAGAAGCAGGTCAAGGCGCGCAAGCTGGTCGTTGTCTCCTGCGGCGCCTGCGGCACGCCACCTGTTCTCGAAAGGTCTGGCCTCGGCGACCCTGAGATTCTAAAGAAGGCTGGCGTGGACGTCAAAATCGACCTGCCGGGCGTCGGCCGCGACTACCAAGACCACCAGCTGATTCTGTACCCGTACCTCTCGAGCTTGAAAGAGCACGAGACCATCGACGGCATGCTGCGCAATCCAGACCAGCGGCAGGAGCTCATCGACAAGAAGGACCCCCGCGTTGGCTGGAACTCGATCGATATATCGTCCAAGCTGCGCCCCTCGGACGACGACGTCTCGGCGCTGGGTCCCGAATTCCAGGACGCCTGGAACAAGGACTTCAAAAATGCGCCCGACAGGCCGCTCATGCTGATGGGCCTCGTTTCATGGTGAGTTCGCGAACAATCCTTCAACTTCCGCCGTGCCCGTGCCCCTCGCTCATCCTAGAACAAAGCTTCCTCGGCGATCCTGCGAGCGTGCCCGAGGCCGGCTACGTCACGGTCGGCACCTACACGGCGTACCCGTACTCCCGCGGCCACATGCACATCACGGGCCCCGAAGTTTCCGACGCGCTCGACTTTGACCCGGGCTACCTCAGCGATGCTCACGACATTGACCTGAAGAAGCAGCTCTGGGCCTACAAGAAGCAGCGCGAGATCATGCGCCGCACGGCCATGTTCCGCGGCGAGCTCGCGGCCGGGCACCCCGCCTTCGCCGAGGGGTCTGCTGCCGCCTGCGCGGCGGTCGAGAGCGCCCTCAGCGACGTCAAGGACATCGAGTACTCGGCCGAGGACGACAAGGCGATCGAGCAGTGGATTCGGGAGAATGTCGGGACGACGTGGCACTCGATTGCCACAGCCAAGATGGCGCCGCGGGAGGAGAACGGTGTTGTGGACCATGACCTGAATGTCTGGGGGACCAAGGGGCTCAAGATTGCCGACCTGAGCATCCCGCCCATGAACGTCGGCGCCAACACCAACAACACGGCGCTGGTCGTCGGCGAAAAGGCGGCAGACATCATCATCAGGGAGCTGGGACTCAGTGCGTGAGGGTTGTAGGGGGCCAAGGGGGGGGGGGGGGGGGGGGGTGTAGTCAGTAATCGTCCGGTCGGTAGTTTTGGTCTTGCGCACGGGAGTGCTTTCAATGTAGCGTAACGAATCACTTGTTTCAAAGCACTTTGCACGGCGGCCTCGCTCGTCCACCATTTGTCATTCCTTGAATGTCATGTATTCATGGTCCGTCGGTGGGGGACGCAACGTATGCATGCCCCGCCGCCAACCTTAGCCAGGAGAGGGCGTGCCTCGCACTGAATAACAGGCACTCTCCTCGCCCCAAATGGTATCGCCTCCACCCTCCCCTCCGAATCCATCCTCCCTGAGACCGGTGTGTACACAAAGCCCACAAGCTTATTTCGCCTGCTTGCTGAGGGCGCTGGCGGCCTGGCGGTCGTGCTCGTCAATGTCCTCGGCCTCCCAGGGGTAGTTGATCCAGGCGTCGCCGACGGTGCGGGCGGCGAGGTAGCGGCCGTTGTCGAGCATCTCGGCGGGCAGGGTGCCCTTCTTCTGCTTGTCCTTGTTGTGGAGCACGAAGATGCTGAACTGGGTCTTCTCGTCGGTGCCGAGGCGCTGGCGGGCGGCCTCGACGTCCTTCTCGAGCTCCTTGACGGCGTACTCGAGCGTGGTGCGCGTGTCGTCGACCTCGTCGACGATGAGCACGCGCTTGCCGACGAGGTTCTCCATCTCGCCGAGGGCCGTCAGGTCGAGCCACTGCGTGCGCGTGACGCGGGTGCCGGGCACCTCGGGCACGCCGGGCGTCTCGTTGCCGGCCATGGTCTCGGGCAGCGACTCGTAGAGGGAGAGGCCGATGGCCTGGATGGGGATGTTGGGGCTGCCGGGCTGGCGGAGGAAGGAGCGCAGAATGCGGGCGGGGACATAGCCGCCGCCGCCAATGGCGATCATGAGATGGGGCTTGAAGTTGGCGAGGATCTCGGCAGCCGACTCCTGGCAGAGCTTGTGGACCTGTTTTTCTCGTGTTAGCTGGGACTGTCTGTTCAGGGGGGAAGATCGAAAGCATCTCCGAGGTTCAACAGGATGCGGGTTGCTGCATAAGCACTGTCGCACAAGAGAGGGTGAAGGGGCAACACGTACGTCGTTGTAGGTGACGTAGATCTTCTCGATTTCGGCCATCTTGATGGTGTTGGTGGTGCACGAGGCGTACGAACTAGGGTGTTGAGGGTATCGCGGAAGGGGAGAAAGGCTGAAGCAAGGAGGCAGAAAAAACGTGGATGAAAATCACCAGACGAAAAGAAGAAGAAGAAAAAGAAGAAGGCTGCCAGAATCGCGATCACCATGTCACCCCGCCTGCCCGCCTTGATCGAAGTTTTTTTCCCAACTGCCCCGCGCTAGGCTGCGCGACACCCAAAACGCCCCTCCAACGTGGTGCACATGCATCGGAATCCGCCGATGGCTGCGGAAGCACGTGATGGCGGCATGATCCACCCAAGTCCGTGCTGCTTTTCCAGTACAGCGATGTCCTTACAGCGAAGTATCCGCTGTAGATGCACCAAATAAGGGTTAAGATGTTGCGCTGTAGGGCGGCTTCTGACGTCATATTAGCCACAAAGCACTGCTATCCATCACTTACATCACACGCAACCTGAGGACTGCGTTCAACAATACTGGCTACTGGCGCTGGAATTTATCAGTAAAGCTAAAAACTGAATGCAACACCGCTTGTCAACCGACGGAAGACCATGGGCGTCATATCTCGCCGACATCCGCCTTGCCTTGTTCCGACTCAAGTTTCAAGCGATCGACTCTTCCCATGGGCGGCTTGACCCTCGTTCTTGGGATCTTCTTCCTCTACGGAACAATGCGGCGGCGCCTCGACGTGCAGTGCCTTTGGCGCCTTCTCGCTGTCAATCAACTTCATGTTCTCCCTGGGCCTCTCTGGCAACTTTGTTCTTTCGTAGGAAGTGGGTGCTCTATGATTAAGCCATGCATGGAACGGCGGCCTTCGAGCCATGAAGAAACCTGGCGCCGGATACGCCGGTGGCCCGGCCGTACGCATGCGCCAGTATCGATACGTAGTTGAATTCGCGGTGGTTCGTAGCGGACTTCTGGTACTAGGTACGCCGACGCTCACACAGCCAGCGTCGTCGTCTGCCGCCTCTGATTGTTCAGGGCTGTCCGGTGCTGTTGGGCGTTCTGTCATATTTGATGCGCGAGCCACGTTGCCCGTGATGACCTACTCGCGGGTGTGCTCCATTTTGGCGGTCCAGGTCGGAGACTCGAAGTTGGCTTCGGCGTATGCCTTGATGAAGGCCAGTGTGCCGATGTAGTATGAGCCGGTGCTACGAGGTGATGGATCCATGTTGTCGACGGTGATGTGCGGACACGATGCGTAGGAGATTTTGAGGATGGTACGGGGATATTGATGTCCTGTTAGCGAATGTCGGCTGCATTGGATGGCTCAATGATGGTGCAAAGCCATCGTGGGCCAGGTAGGGTAGGTAGCTTAAGGGCTTAGGTAGACACCACTCGTGGGTTTGGTGGGTTACAATCTGATGGGCTAGGGAAAGTGCGCCTGTTATGCACCTGCTGTGGTCACAATTTGGTGTAGTCAGCGATCTATCACCTAATCGCTCCTGGCCTCCATCAATGCAGGGAAGGGACATGATGGTCATGCTTCTTCATCATCCATACCCGGCATTTGTACCAAACCCCCGCAGGTCCAAAATGCAGTGAATGACCACATCCCTGAAAAGAAGACTTCAGAGAAGCTGCATCGCGTTTTTCCCACACAAGGCATAGAAATGAACCTAGCTCTATTTCTAATCTCCCTCATCTTCGGTGCAGAATGCCTTTGTGCATCGCATACCGTCTAGAGCCAACAATAAGTTTCGACATCAAGCCGCGAATCATCCGAAGGCACTCAAATCAACCAGTTGTAACCGTCGCCCAACAAGAGCATTGGCCCAGACGCCGGATGTTCATTCCAGGGTTAGTATGGAGTGTACAAAGTTGACTGACAAGAGACCTGACAGACGAGGGCCTACGATCGAGCTTGCCGAATGACACGAGACTCATACGACCCGAGCCAAAACCACGGCCACACGCTCTGAGCAACGGAGGGCGGCGTAAGATCCGACACCGCGTGCGACAACCCGAAGAATGACGCCGAGCCGACATCAACATAGCCGTCTGTCGAGGTTCCGATCACAGATCATCGAAACGACAGAAGACGACCATATCGATGACACATGAGAAACCCCATGATGTTGCTTCATTGCGGAACCACCATCAGGCAATGTCGATGGGGCTGAAATGGGTCGGCACCGCGTTGCCCCAGAACCTTGCCGTTCCCAAGTGACGAAGCGACCCAGAGCTTCGGAACCCATCCCACGTGTTGATGCGACGCCATCTGCCCCAGAGATGGTCTGACTTGAAGGAGCGCAAGCCATATTCTTTGGGCTTTGGCCGTCAGGTGTTCTTCCTGTCCCGAGACCACCATTCCAGATGCCGCCGTCGTCGTCTGCTAGCGCGGCGCCCGATGCTTTGACCAAAAGCCCTGCAGCCGCCTGCTTCCTCTTCACCCAATCGCGACGTCTGCTCGCGACGGTCGGCTCGCTTCTCGGCTCCGATCGCCTTACAGGAGGGAACGAGACGGGGCCAGGGTCGTGCACATGGTGGGTTCGGCCCTCAGAACACCGGGGCACCGAGTCAAGCGGCGCGGCAGCACCAGGTTCATGCCAAGTTTGCCGCCTTTGGCCTCCCTGTGGGCGTGGGACAATCTTCCCACCAACGACGTCGGCATCGGCTTTGCAGTATGGAGCATGACTCTATCCCCAGATCAGCCTCCGCCTTGCCCACTTGGACGAGCCCGATGCACGTCCCCCTCACTCCCCGGAGCTCCACGATCCATCAACCATCCCCCATTGTCACCCCCTCGCCTTTCAAAACACCCCTGTCGGTCGCCGTCGCAGTGCTGGCGCGCCGCTCGCCTGACAAGACACATTGACGACGTGGGTTGACTGTTCCCCAGATTTTCCCCAATTCTTTATGATCGCGCTCGGGTGGGGTTCGGGAGGATAAGTATCCCAGGACAACCTCACCACCAGTCTTGTTTTCTTGGGATTCCTCTTCACTCCTCTCGTCATTAGCAACTACGACATCTACCGAGACAGTCATCTCTCAGAGGTCTCCAGCCGACAATATCCTGTCGACATCATCGTCAGAGCATTGCGGATCAACGCCAGCTCCACAACTGCTTTTTCGTCAACGAAGCAACCATGGGTGGTCTCAAAGCTGTTGAGGATCGGCCGACGCCGAAGGAGGTCTACAATTGGCGTCTGTACACAGAGGCGTCCATTATTGCCATGGGCTCGTTGCTGTATGTGACAGCTGTCTTTTCAACAGTGACCGCTAGATACTGACGCGACTGTAGTTTCGGCTATGACTCCGCATTTATTGGCACGACCATTGCCCGCGCCGGCTTCAAGGATGACTTTGGCATTACAGACGCCAACAAGTCCGGCATCAGCTCCAACATTACATCTGCATTCCAGGCGGGTGCCCTCGGTGGTGCCTTGATGTGCTTCTTCAGTAAGTTAATCTACTCTATACTTTCGAACTGTAATTAATGATGCAGTTACCGAGTATATCGGCCGTAGGTGGGCGCTCATTATCGCCAACCTTGTCTTTATTGCTGGCGCTGTCCCGATGGTTGCCGCTACCACCGACTTGGCCAATATCTATGCTGGCCGTGCTCTTACCGGCTGGGGCTGCGGCGTCATCACTGCTACAGTCCCATCCTATATCGCCGAGCTCTCCATCTCTTCGATCCGCGGTATCCTCACAGGCCTTTTCGAAGTTACATATCAGACAGGGTCCCTCGTCGGCTTCTGGATCAACTACGGCGTCAACCAAAACATGGACCCAAACAGCCGCGCCGCTTGGCGCGTTCCTATGGCCGTTCAGCTCATCCCCGCTGGCTTCCTTCTTGTTGGAGGCTTCTTCCTACACGAGTCCCCACTGTGGCTCTTCAAGAAGGGCCGTATCGCCGAAGCCGAGAAGGCTCTCGTAGCCCTGCGCCACCTCCCCATGGACCACCAATACATGCAGGAAGAGGTTGCTATTATCAACACCCGTCTCTCCGAAGAAGCTGCCGTCGCTGCTAAGTACGGTACTGGCTTCTGGGCCTATATCCGTGGCTGCCTGGCCGAATTAAGCCGCAAGGGCATGTGGAATCGTCTGCTACTTGTTTTCTGTTCCTTTTCGCTTCAGAACATGTCGGGAGCAGCAGCCATCAACTACTACTCGCCCATGCTATTCGGCTCTATCGGCATCAAGGACGTCGCTCTATACACCGGCATTTATGGCCTTGTTAAGGCTGTCGCGTCGATTATCTTCTATGGAGCTCTTATCGATATTTGGGGACGTCGGAACCCCACGATTATCTCCTCGCTTGCCTGTTCGCTCTGCCTGTGGTTCGTCGGAGCCTACGTCAAGGTTGGCAACCCTGCGCCGATTATCGCGGCCGGCAACAAGCTCTCTGCGTCGAACGCCGCTGGTGGAAAGGCCGCTACAGCTGCTATCATGATCTACTCTGTTTTGTAAGTGGCCTGGAACTCGATATTCGTGTCGCATCGTCTAACCTTTTTCTAGCTGGTCTTTTGGTTTGAACGGTATTCCCTGGATTGTGTCCGCCGAAATCTTCCCCGGCGCGCTGCGCAACCTTACCGGAACTTTCGCCGCCTTCACTCAGTGGATGATTCAGTTCATCATCACCAAGGCACTTCCGTACATCTTTGAGTCCCTCGACTTTGGTGTCTGGTTCTTCTTTGCCTGCTGGATGCTTACCGCCACCCTTTGGGCGTACTTCTACTTGCCCGAAACCAAGGGTGTCACCCTCGAGCAGATGGATGTGCTCTTTGGGTACGAGGGTGACCGTCGGGCCCAGGGCATTGTGCAGACCCCGCTGGCCAAAGAGGATGCGGTCAGCATTGAGGAGGGAGTTGGCAAGGCTGGAATGACAGACCACACGGAGAGGGCTTAATGGAGGTCGTTTTCGGCGGCCATCAGGAGGAGGACAAGATACTGGGGATTCTTAGGATAGAGTGCTTTGGCAGTATCGTCCGATCGAGGTAATTACCGAGAATGATTTTTGACATGAACTGTGTATTCGC